ATTGTTTATATATTATGACTAAATACTCCCACAGCTGCCACTTGTAGTAAACCACGATTACTTTCCTCTCCTACACAATTCTTTGTTTTTGCTGTAGTTAATAATTGTCTTTTTTTCCTTCAGTCATTTAGTGGACAAGTTTTCTTTGTGCTTAATTCAAATCCAAATTCTGTTAACTATGTGAATCTCTCCTTATGTTTAGAAGCATCAAATGCTCTGTTAGTTTATGTCACTGAAGAGGTTTCTGTCTTAGTCTTCAGGAGCCTGCTACAGGCTGGTACGAGGCTGCAGTCTTGGGATCACCCATCACCTTCCTCCTGATTTGGATTCTGTGGTATCCCAACTTTTTTTTCACGTTTTTTCTTTTTGTTTTTTTTGAGATAAGGTCTTGCTATGTTGTGCAGATTGGCCTTGAACACAAGGTGGTCCTCCTGCCAGGCAGGCACGGAGACACTGAGCTACATCTCCGGCCCTGATCCTCCTGCCTCAGCCTCCCAAGTGGTGGGATTACAGGCATGTGCCACCACACCTGGCTTTTTGAGATTTTCATTAGTGTATAAATTCCTAATCTTTCTGGGTTTTTGCTCCCTTGTTCCATTGAGCTTCTCGATAAAAGGTACATAGGAAGTTTATTTCTGGAGACACTGCATACCTAGTCTTTATCTGTCTTTATACCTGAGGGACAGTTTGGCTGGGTATAGAATTCCACAGCAGACAGCATTTTCAGAATGTGGACTCATCACACCATTGTATTCTAATGTCCAGTGTTACTATCGACAAAGCCATGGTCATTCTGATTCCTAAACTTTGTACATGGCCTGTTTTTCTTCACCTTCTTCTCAGTGTTCTGGTATTTATTAGCAATATGCCTTGATCTGTTTTCCTTGTGGGGCCTTTTGGTCCTATCTGGGTCACGCCATTTATTCTGAGAAAATTCCTCTGATTTTCTTGACTTCTCTCCCAAACAGTTTCTCCTCCTCTTTCATTTCTTTTATTTCTGGAACTTGTGTTAATTTGATATTGAATTTCCTGGATGGTCTATTTTATTTATTCAATCTTTCTGCTTTCCTTCCCGATGGTCATTTCTTCTTCCACCCCTTAATTAGGCTTTTCATTTCTGCTTACCTACATGTGTGTGTGTTATATATTTATTTATAGTATTGAGGATACAACTGAGGGCATCTCATGTGTAGGCTGCCCTTCTACCACTGAACAACAGTACTGGCCAAGGGTATTTTTAATTTCTGAGAACCTTTTCTTTGGTCTCAATTGTTATGGTATTTTTATAAGTTTCACAGTACGCAATCTTATTCATGGTTCAGATTGCAGTATCTTATTTCTGCTGACATTTATGAATATTTTTAAGTACAAAAATGAGCTTCTGTTTAGAATGAGAAAATATTTTTAAAAAAATATTTTTCACCCTGTGCACACTGTTTCTACTCAATTCCCCTTTCCTGGCTGCTTTTATTCCTTTTGGGTCCACGTCTCTGTCTTGCCAGAGGCTTTTACCCAACTTCCAGGGACCCAGGGCTCTGGACAGCTCCTGGTGGGGCTGAGGTCTGAAACAAGTGGTGAGCCTTGGGGGGCATGGAGGAGTAGTGAATTAGGGACTTCACGGCAGGGTAACTGGATCATATTCATCAGGGAATTCCCGATGTTGGTATTCTGGGGTGTCTTTTCTAGGGGGTATACATGAGATGTGATCAAAATATACAGTCAATGTTTACATTAAAAAATCATTAAAGGGCCGGGGATTTAGCTTAGTGGCACCGCACCTGCCTCGCAAGTGCGAGGTCCTGAATTCGATCCCTGGTAACAACAACAACAACAACAACAACAAAAAAAAATGCAGAAGACAACAATTAATGAGCCCTGATCTCACTAACAAAATGACCCCTATGTATGATGTGAAGGTGAACAGGCGCTCATGCTCATCCATCCAATAAATGCTTCAGGTTTTCTTGCGCCAGGCATTATGTTGAGCCCTGGGGCACAGCAGTGAACAGAGCAGGGTCTCCTCGGGGAGCAGACCCGGTGTCCCGAGCAGCACTGCCTTGGTGGGGCAGGACCTCCAGGTCATGACCGCTTCTGCAATGATGAAAAGGCCTAGACTGGCAGGGTGTGCTGGCACACACCTGTAGTCCCAGCACTCAGGAGGCTGAGGCAGGAAGATCACCCTAAATTCAAGGCCAGGCTGGGCTACGTAGTGAGACCCCATCTCAACCTCCTCCTTCCCCCAAAAAAGAAAAGGCCTAGACTCGTACACCCCAATATGGCAATCACCAGCTTCTGATCACCAGTGTTACCGAGGAGTCAGACTTTAATTAACATTGAATGCTAAGAGGCAGATGTGGCTGGTGACCCCCGCAGGGAACAGTGTGAGAAAATTCCACCCAGCAGCAAGGTACAAGGGACCTGGCAGCCCTGGGGCTTCAACTGGTACAGCGCCAAGCGGGCTCACCCTACCAGCGGGGCTGGGGCAGCGGCAGCCTCCCGTGAGGGCGAGGAAAGGCAGGTGGGGGACAGGAAGCCGGGCTTCCCTGCCAGCCAGCTCTGCCCGCCCACCGCCCAGCACTTTCAGTTGTGTTGCACTGCAGAAAGGCAAAAAGGAGACAGAGAGTGCCCTTTCCTTAAAGCTGCTTTTAGTTTCTTCCTGAAGAATTAAACCATGCATGCACACAGCTTCCTACACACCAACCAGAAGTCCTGCTGCTTCCATTGCTTTTTCCGTGGACTTGGACAGCTCCTAGGTCTTTCCCATATATCAAGGCCTTACCTCCAACTGCCTCTAACCGGTCTCAACTCATCATCTGGCCTTTTTTGTTGTTGTTGTTTTGGTTGGTTTTTGCTATTTAAAAAAAAAAAAATACAGGGTCTTGCTATGTAGCTCAGACTGGCCTCGAACTCCTTACATAGCTCAGGTTGCCCTTGAACTTGTGGCGATCCTCCTGTCCCAGCCTCCGAGTACTGGGGCCTACAGGTGTGTGCCACCACGCCTGGCCTTTTTTTTTGGAGACAGGGTGTCACTATGTTGCCCTGGCAGACCTCAAACTTCCAGGCTGAAGTGATCTCCTGTCTCAGCCTCCTGAGTAGCTGGGACTTTAGGTATAGGTTGCTGCATGAAGCTCGCTCAGCTACTCCTCATGGGCATTGCGCATGTGCTGGCCACTGCTGGAGACCCGACAGACAGAGCTGTGAACCAGGCAGGGGAGTTCCCTGCCCCGAAGCGATTCAAATCCAGTGGAGAGAGATGGGCAACACAGTGGATAATATTCTGTGGTGTGTTATGGGGCACAAATGCTTACACATGAAAACAAGGCAGGGTGAGTAAGTTTGGGAGGCTGAGGAGGCCACAAGTTGTAATATCAGATAAGGGGGCTGAGACCGTGTCTGGGCAGCCAATGCAAAGGTCCGGGGGCGGGAGTGGAGCAGGTGCAGGTGTAGTGGGGAGCCTCCAACAGAGGGATGGGTGTCTGGAAGATGAGGGCCGAGGGGGAGGGAGGGAGGGCTAACTTGAAGCTCGAGGTGACTCAAGTCACTCTGAGAAGAGTGAAGAGCCAGGGAGAGGGATGAGCCCGGGAGAAACCAGCACCCGCTCCAGTATTGACTCTCTGGGTGCCAAAGTGGGCAGGGAATTTGAATCTCCCCCCAAACCTACATCCAGAGGCTGCAGGAAATGGCTGTGTTTTCAGAGCGATTTATGAACCAGGAGGAGAAGCTGGGGTAGGGGTGGGGTGGGCGGAGGTGTCGCAGCCTGGAACCGAGTGAGCCGTCAGGCGTGCTCGCTGGGCTGGGGCTGCGGAGCTCGGTGCCCAGCGCTGTGTGACCCCCCTCCCTGAATGCCGGCCGCAGCCCCACCGCGGCAGGCTTGCAGCATTCTCTACAAGGCTCCTCAGGTCTCTCTCTCGCCATGCAGGACCCCTGCTTCCCTCCACTTCTGTTCCCAGGCCCCTCCATCCTCCTCTTCGGCCTACTCCGGGAACTCCACATTCTTCCCACTTAAACGGGGAGAGCAACCCACCTTTCGCCCCCATGGGCATTTTCCTAAACAAAGAGAAACCTGGAGAGAAAGTAGTTTGCCTACGAGGCTGAAGTGCCCACGGCAGTGGCAATATTTTTTCTTACCCGCCCATCTATCGGGTTCCGGAAGTCATCTAACCGGCTCTCCAGCCACAGCCTGCTGAGCTCCCTCCACAGGCCCTAGCTTAGCCCCAGCTCTGCGTCCTTTGTGCCCACCACCCCCTCACGCCGGTCTGTTCCCGCCATTCTGTTTGGGGAACCCGTACCCCACTCCGCCTCCCAGTCAGGGTGCGTGGATAATTCAGTCGTTTCTTCCCTTTCCACACGTGCAGGTATTTATGTATGAGCACCGGAGTGTGTAATCCAGGCTTCTGAGGAGGTCTGGGATGCAAAAGGATTTACATCAACAGACGGGTGTAGCTCAGTGGAGGGGCACTTACCTACTATTTGAGAAGCCCTGGCTTTAATGCCCAGTCCTGGGGAAAAAAATCAAAACCAAACAAACAAACCCAGACAGGTTAGCAATCCAAAAGGCAAGGTTAAATCGAGGCATGGTGGTGTATGCCAGTAATCCCAGCACTGGCAGGCTGGTCTCTCTCCAGGCGGCCTGTCTGTCATCCCAGCACTGGTGAGGCTGAGGCAGGAGGATACCCTAGGAGTTCAAGGCCAGCTGGGGCTACATAGTGAGTTCAAGGTCACCCTGAACTAATAGTGAAACCCTGTCTCAGAAACAAGCAAAAAACCATCGACCATGACCATTTCTCCAGCCCAGCACCTCCTTTATATTAGGCACTATTGAACCTTTGCAAAACCTGGAATGGAGGTGCTGCAGTGATTCCCATTTGTACAGACCACGAAACAGGCACAGAGAGCCACTAGCTAGGGTTTGGAGCAGTAGACGCTGGCTTGAGAGGCTCCATTAGGCCATTCAGTCATCTGCATGGGGCTGACCCTGCCCCTCGTGCTCCTGTCCTCAGGAAGCTGGACGCCTTCATCTATGATGCTGCGGTGCTCAACTACATGGCCCGCAAGGATGAGGGCTGCAAGCTGGTCACCATCGGCTCCGGCAAGGTCTTCGCCACCACCGGCTATGGCATCGCCCTGCATAAGGGCTCCCGCTGGAAGCGGCCCATTGACCTGGCACTGCTGCAGTTCCTGGGGGACGGTGGGGCTGCCTGCAGGGATTTCTGCAAGGGGGTGGGGTGGGCCCTGGGGACTGAGGGGGCAAAGGCCTGGGCACCAGGGGCTGGGAGATGAAGGGGCTGTGGGCTGGGCTCCCACACCAGAGGGGATGTCCTCAGGGGGTGCTCATGGCAGGTGATCTCTAACCCCCTTCCCCAGATGAGATCGAGATGCTGGAGCGGCTGTGGCTCTCCGGGATCTGCCATAACGACAAGATCGAGGTGATGAGCAGCAAGCTGGACATCGACAACATGGCCGGTGTCTTCTACATGCTGCTGGTGGCCATGGGCCTCTCCCTGCTGGTCTTCGCCTGGGAGCACCTGGTGTACTGGCGCCTGCGGCACTGCCTGGGGCCCACGCACCGCATGGATTTCCTGCTGGCCTTCTCCAGGGTATGCGGGAGCCGGAGAGGGTGGCCACAGGGGTTGTGGGGGAGAGCGGTATCAGCGCAGAGAGTCCCGAGCCTGGGAGGCCGTGGACAGAGGCCCCGCGCTGATCTGCGTCCCGGCCCGCAGGGCATGTACAGCTGCTGCAGCGCCGAGGCCGCC